CCCCCCCCCCCCCCCCCCCCCCCCTCCCACAACAAAGTCACTTCACACAACCACATATACATGCTTTTGCACAAATTTCTTTTTTTAACTGACTTTTCTTTCCATTAGTAAAAATAATAAGCCTTCATTACTTTTCAAGTTGCTTAGAGCTCCATTTCTAGCAGCTTCATTGAAAAGAAGTAATAATTGAACTTACAGCATTGGAAATGAAGAAAATATATAAGTAGCGTTTTATGAGAGCACTCAGTAGATGACAACCTGAATAGTAAACTGGCGTATTTTGGATGCGACGAGACAAGTTTTAGGGAGGGTGCTCTTTAACCCAATTGTCAACAGCTTACCCTGCAAAAAATCTACGCCAAGGTGAATTTCAAATAGGTAGCTAAGATCATAAAAAATAAATAATTGACAATTAAAATTGCATAAATAAAATTTATATTGAGGGAAGTAGAAATAATTACATGCTTCCAGTTGTCTTCCACACCGACCAGATAATAGTTGACTTTAATCAAATTAACTACTCGAAAGTATTGAAAAGAAAATACTGTACCCAGAAGTTCATTTTAAGAATGAGTGGAGTTTATACTATAGACTATTTATTTTATGATATTCTAACTGTAACTCGGCGTTCCCTGTTGCCACGCCGACAGGATGGCGATTGACATTTGCATAGTCGAGCGGAAAAGACATTCATTGAGATCCCGTAAAACTCATTCTTCAAGCCAATTACTAAGGGAAAGGTCAATTCAAAGGAACCGTTGCTGTACGTTTGATCACACTCAATGGCAGGCGAAGTGCACAATATCATGACGAGCATCAGTGGTAATTTTATTCATTTTGAAAAATGTAATAAATGAATTCATTTCTCAACATACAGTTGAAACAAGCATTCAAACCTAAATTGTAACATATTTGATGCTAAAATACCTCATAGGGAATTCCGGAATTCAGAAAAATACTTGAAGCTGCGCAAATTCAATAAGCACAGCACGGACATTGTGGCTAAATTTTCTGCGAAATGCACATTATGTAGAATGATGGGGAAGTGATTTAGTGTATAAAGTTGAGTTGATGACAAAAGTAGTCATTTTTAAGGTTTCACACAGCTTGTTATTTGCTTATTCTTGGTAGCTTGTACCTATTAATTCAACTACCTCTTATGCTGCTTTAAAATAAAGAGGCCACAATTATTCGAATTTAAAATGAGCTATCATTGAGGCCTGATAGACATGAGCAGCTGATGTACTCCATTCAAAGAATTCAAATTGTTGGTTTCAGACACCTCTCCTATTCAGCAAAATAAAAGAATAACCAAAGCATTCAAAACTAAATAAGCTACTTCTAAGGTTCCCACTTTCTTTACTAATATGCCTAAATCTGATCAGAGCCGAATTCTTTCGAACCAGAAATAAAACCATTGATGAAATATAAAGAGACCCTACTCACGTCTGAAGGATATAAAAAAGGACAGCACAAGTTCTGCAAGGTGAATGTCTTCCACTAACCTCGAGGTTAGAGTAATCAATATGCCCTAGTAAATGGAGTCCGATCATTCAGCAATGATGAACCTGCATAGTAAATCGCACTGGTAGTGGCGCAGTGGTCAGCATGCATGCCTACCAAGTGAGATGTCATGGGATTAGTGCTCATCAGATGTGTGAGTGCTCAAGTGGCCTGGCTAAATGTGATTAACAAGAGAGTGGTAGAGAGTTTTTCATAACTCTGACACCATCATACCTCCGCTGCCCAAATTCTTACTTCAGTAGGCTGAAATTCATGACCTCATCGGATAGAAGATACAAACTCCAATCATGAACTCTGCTAAATTAGGTAAGATGAGCTGATTTAGACGGTTTAAGTCCTAGTGCATGCCAATGAACAGCATAGCTGAAGCGAGGATTGGAGTGGTGTGACCACCATGTTTTGAACTCGCACAATGCCAGAGTTAGCTTTCTTCGTGTGTCAAACGCCTCCCCCCCTCCCCTCCCCCCCCCAGACCCCCAA